AGGTCTTAAGGAATCCAAGCTACAAGAAAGGTATGTCATTCTACTAGTTTTATATTACATATACCCCATGATATGCAAGTTAGAATGAAACCTTGGAAAAATCAAAGTTTGCATGTATAATTGAGAAAACATAGATCCAAGGTTTCTAGGGTTGCATGTACACCATAGGAGTGTTAGAATGCTCAAAACTCATCAGATACATGTCGTTGGTAAATATGGAAGAGGGAGGTGTAGGTTAGATCATTTGAACGTGCAAGAGAGGAAAGTAAAAAGAGTGAGTTTGGGTGGTGGGAGCCACATATATATTTTTAATAAATAGTTTTTCTAAATAACAAATAATTCTAACAAATCTGAAAATATAATTCTAATGGTAAAAATGTCTTTTTATGTCTATTAGGGACTAGAGACGAAACAAAAACATATAGTTGTTTAATATATATATATATATATATATATATATATATATGTATATATATATATAGTTGTTTAATTTTTTTTTTTATATTTTTTTTCTTACATTATATTTTATTTATTTATATTTTTTATTATTTATATTTTTTAATGTTTTTTTTGTATAATTTTTTCTAATTTTTTGACATGTTGTTTGAATACTTTTTTTTGACGTTTCGTTCGTTTATATATTTTAAAATATTTTTTGTAAAAATTGTATAAAAGTTCCTTAAATATGAATATTATTAACATAGATTAGGTATAAAATTATTTTTTTAACAGGATTAATAGATAGGCTAACTGAAATTCGAAAAAGAGTTTCAGGTTATATAATGTCTAATTGAAAACCATATAACTCGAAAACGAATAAAATTCCTAAAAATAAAAATGAAATCGAAAACATTAACACATGTGTTTGAGCTATAAGAATACTTATTAGCATTTGTCATTCGGAATAAAATGTAAATAAAATTCTAAAAGTAAAAGAGTTGAACTCGAAGCTATTGACACTCTTTTCGAATTCCGGTTAACCTATACAATAATCTTATTAAAATAAATAATTTTATACCAAATATGCTTTAATCGTATTTACATTTAACAAACTTTTTTATATTTTTTATACAAAAAATATTTATAAAACGTTTTACAAAAATATTAAAAAACAAAAGATCAAAAAAACACTAAAAAATATATTCGAACAAAAC